TGTTTTTTTCAACTTCGGTCTTTTTTAAAATTTTTGGAATCTTCGACGAAGTTTTGAGATGACTCTCCATTCCTGTTTTAACCTCAGCTCGTGTGTTTGCCTTGTGCTCCTGAGTGTGTCGATACTCTGTGTTTTTTACGGTCTGTCGTCGCTCTTCTACGGCGTAAGTTGTGGGGGCTTCTCGTCTCGTTTGAATTAAGGAGAGCAAGGAAACCATAAAGGGTCGCACAGTAGATCGAGTCATTTAGAGAGGTCGGACATGAAATTTTTGACAAAAACTGCGAATTTTGATGTTTATTTCGTCTTATTTCAAAGTTCAAGGGGTGCTTTATGAAGAAAATTTCACCAAAAAATCAATTGAATTACTTTTAGAACCTCAAAGTTTGGCATAAACGGAGTTATGAGCGTTTAAAGTTTCCAAATTTTGTCCGACCTCTCCTATTGACTCCATCCACTGCGGGCCGGTTATAAAATATTAAGGGCCGCACAGTAGATCGAGTTATTTAGAGAGGTCGGACATGAAATTTTTGACAAAAACTGCGAATTTTGATGTTTATTTCGCCACATTTTAAACTTTAAGGAGTGCTCCTAAAAGATAATTTCACGAGGAAATCAATGGAACCACTTTTAGAACCTCAAGTTTGGCATAAACGGAGTTATGAGCGTTTAAAGTTTCCAAATTTTGTCCGACCTCTCCTATTGACTCTATCCACTGTGGGCCGGTTATAAAATAAGGAACGCTCTCAAGGGGGGGNCTCAAGGGGGGGGGGGGTGTCTGGATTACGGGTTCATCATAGGAAGAGGGAGAGGAGGGGGTACAGAGCTGTGTCACGTAACGCTGTTTGCGCCGATTGGAGGGGGTGATTCGGGTCGTACAGAACATTACGTACCTAGTTTTTTTAGGGGCTGCAGAGGCATACCTAAGTAAGGGGGTTCACGGACAGTAGGTCTACAAGAAAAATGGCTACAAAAACAAAGGCTACCTTTCTTGGCCTACAGTCAAAATGTCTACATGAAAATGCCTATTAAAATAATGTCTATAGCAAAATATGTCTTCGGTATTAAAATGTCTACGGTTTGACTGCCTACTCCAAAAATGTCAAAGTACGTATTTATGTCGGCTAATAAGAATCTCATTTGAACTGTCAAATGTTTGAACAGTTATTGATTCAAAATTGGGCGTTGCGGCAGAATAATTTTTACAAGCGTTGAGGAAGGAAAACTTGTTAGTCACATTTCGCGAATAATTGATCCTATAAACATCAGCAAGTATATTTTATTTATTTTTTTTATTTTATAAATATATTTTAAATATTTTCAGTGGCCAACATCAATATTTTGACATTTTCTAAGTGGGCAAACAAACTGTAGAAATTTTAATGGCGTAGACGTATTTGACTGTCTGTAGACATAATTTTAGTAGGCATTTAAATGTAGACGTTTTGACTGTAGACTTAAAAAGGTAGCCCTTTTTTTTGTAGCCTTTTTTTCTGTAGACGCACTGTCTGCATACCAGTAAGGGTACGTTACGGGGAGGATAATGGAGTGAATTCGGTTTTCAGTGTTACGCGTTTGGCCACGTGTTGGTCAAATCGTCGTTCCTGAACGAAAAAACGGAAAAACATTTCAAGCATGCAAATTAACATACGCAAAGTAAGGGGCTTGGATGACAAGACGCACAAGTGCAGTTTTTGCTATTTCAAGAAATACGTGTTCAGAGTTTCAAAATTACATAGAGCCTTTATGACAGAGAAGAAGTTTAAACTCACTTTTTGATGCTTTAAAGTTGGATTTTAGTCGTGATTTTTTCACAGAATATACTTTCAAACTAGTTTTAGCTGAGTTCCTGAATATCTCAATTTGTTTAAATACTGCACTTATGCGCCTTGTCCTCCAAGCCCCTCAATTGTAATTTTACCAGGACGCTACCAGGCATTTCTAACTGAAAGTTTTCACCTGAAAGTTCCTCTGATCACGCGAAAAACTCAGCAAAACCGTGGACTATTAAAGCACAATTAAATTCCCTTAAAAATGTCATTGTTTGGGACAATTTTGCAACCTCTGAATGGAGTTACATTCAAACATTTTACAAGAAGGAACGACGAATGCGATCAGGGTTTAAAGGGTGACCCGTTAAAATGTCAAAATTCGATCGCTTGAGCCATTTCAAGTAAAATCGCCTGGCTCGAAATTTTCTGCCCTTGGAACGATCCCTTTTTCCGTGGAAAGTCTTATTGAATTCCAAAGCCGAAAACTTCCGCGCGCGCACATATATCTATCATAATTTATGAACATCCAAAGACACTTCAAGGTTGATACATATATTTTTGCGTGTGCGAAGCATGCAAGTGTTCAGATTATATGACGCGAACCACGAGCATCATACTTTCCGTACCAGTGTCAGGATGTGGCTTGTGTATATTTAAAAGATGCTCAACTGCTAGCGGCAAATTAGCGATTGTTAGCTTTCACGGGTGGACTGCCAAGTCGTCTCGCCTAAGTTGGAGGGACGAGTTGGTTTGAAAGCTGTGCCGTTCTCTGAAATGCGCTCGCAATTTTGACGTTTCCTCTCTTTTCTCTACTCTGAAAGATCCTAGATTCAAAAATCTCAGAACTCCAATCTAGCCCCATCAACCGAGGTGTTAGCATCGATCTAAATGACTTTTCAAGAACGTCCCCGAATAATTTTATATAAAAATACTCGTTGGCCTTTCATGTCGTTTGTACTTATTTATAATTTTCCCCCCGAAAACGTGAAATAATTGTAAAAATTTTGTGAGTCCACATTTGATATTGATATGTGTGTTCTAATAGTTCTATCACAATTTCATGAATTCTCCTATGAAAACAATGAATGTCTAATTTCTCATAGTCCGCTTTGGTATAACGCGTTTTGCTGGAACAACTCGCAAAATGTTTTGAAGTGCGATTGTTACTCGAATCAAATAAATTACCCAGAGATAAGATTAAGACTTTAAAGTAGCTTTGTACTCTAGTATGTTAAGTGTGTTTGAAAGCATTGGGGAATCCAAGGTTCGTGTTGAGAAACTTGCTCAAAAATTTCGTCTCGTGTAATAAGGATTTTATTGTTAGGTAACCTATTGATATTAAAGTTTTCTCTAGTCCTCGGATGTCGATTTTTTTTTTTATTTTTTCGATTGGGCGTGCGAAAAGAAATTTGAAATTTGCGAAACTTGAAAAGAAATGCCACATTACTGCTCAATTTTACCGCATGTTGCGGTGTCTAGAGAATAGGGCCGGATTTACCTACTTGCCGCCCATGGGCCGCCTGTATTTTGCCGCCCCCTCCTCATTCGTTTTGAAACATCAAAAATAAACTATCAAGTGAACGTGTCGGAGGAGGAGGGGTGCATAAGACGCTTTTACCTACGCGTGTTGGATACATTTTTTGCGAAAACCCTGTCAACAATACTAGCGAAATTTCACGGAACTTTGCGCAAAAGTTAAGTTCCGTAAACCTATCTCTGTGTGGACAAGGTCCTCCATTTATAAGAAATGAACCAAAAAATTATGAAAGAACAAACATAAAATGGTTTAATAATTTTAACTTCCGCCGCTGCGCCGCGCTGATCGCACTGTGTTTGGCGTAATGCGTGAAGTATTCCTGCAGTCTTGTAGGCGCTATGCGTTTCACGCCAACCGCCCCTGACCGCACTGTGTTTGACGCGATGCGTGAAGTATTCATGCAATCTGGTAGGCGCTAATATGTGGCACAGGCCGACCGCCGCGCCGAGGGCTTGTCTTTTTCATCTCAAGTCCTCGTCATCATTTCTCTCTGCGCTGAGCTCCAGGTCAAATTGCGTGTTTGGTTTCCCTCTTAACTCGACTAATTAAAGGTGTTGTCTCTTGTATCACCGAAAAACGACAAAATTAGAAATTACTGCACTCTCAGGAAAGAGAGATTTTGTCCCCTTTTCTCATTGATAATTTTTTTTCTGAATCCGATTTTTTTTTTATACCCACGTTCAACAAAATTGCAAAATTGGCCGCCCCCTAACTTTGCCGCCATGGGCCGCGGCCCATGTGGCCAGTGAGGTCGCTAAACATATGCATTCGCAAGGTTACTGATTTCTTGTCGTATTTTATCGATTCAAAGGATAATAACAAGCTTCATTTTTTTTTATTTTGATTGAAATTTTGCATAACTTATGGAATATCTTATGAATATCTCTAAGAATGAATTCATGAAATGAACAATTTCCTTTTGTTCCATTTTCCAATATTCATTTTGTATATATCATGTTTAAAATGAAATTACTAAAAGAACTGAGCACAAGGATAAGCATCAGCACGCAAAAGGAAATTTCGAAATTGCAATCGGAAGTGCTCGAAACGGGATAAGGGAATAATCGAAGTATTTCATTGGAAATACCAATTTTTGGCCATTTCAAGGGAAACGGGTGACCATCCGATTTTTCGGTTTTCTTTTTTCGGTTCAGTATACCTTGTACCAGCAAGTTCTATAAATATTCAAGCGTTATTCAGGTAAAAAAAAATACATTTTTCAGGGCAGACTATGAAAAATCAGTATCTGAAAGTCGGCGAGAACGAAAACACACCACCTTGGAAATTTTTAAACGCTTAATTCTCTGTCATCAAACATGATGCATCGATATCAACTTGGTGCTTTACGAAGTCTCTGAATACTTGTCCTTTGGCACCAAAAAGGTTTTTCTTAAACTAACTTCTTCGCCCGCTGCGCAGTTCTACGTGTTTCCTGAACAATTTTTTTTCCGAGTTGGTGTGTTTTCGAACTCACTGATTCAAGTAGACTTGGGAAAAATTTCGAAAAATCACCAAACAGGAAGATCAGGATTTTTTTTCTGGGGGAAGGGCAATTTTTAGGGGCCGCGTTGGCGCAGAGCCCTCAATTTTTAGGCGCCATGACCAATTTCTTAGGCGCATTTGGCACGTTGGCGCCTGTGGGTTTCGAACATTGATGGAAAGTCTAACGAGCGCTTTTATTTTTCTCTTTCCAGAATGCGTGCGGGGAGGAGTACGAATGCAACCACCGCCTCTCCTCGGACGTGGTGCCGAGCTCGTACCACATCCTACTCCACCCCAACCTGGCCGAGGGCACGTTCACCGGGAGGGTGACGATCGAGCTGGAGACACTCCAGCCGCGCAAGAACCTCTTCCTCCACTCCAAGGGCCTGGCCGTCAACCGGACGGAGATCGCCCCGCGGCTCCAGGCCTCCCTCGGCTCCGGGCAGGGTCAACCCCTGGGCATCGCCCGGACGTTCGAGTATCCCAAGAACGAGTTCTGGGTCATCAAGCCCACCGCCGAGATTCCGGCCGGGAAGTATGCCCTCACCCTCGAGTTCAGCGGAAAGCTCACCGGCAAGATCATCGGATTCTACCGCAGTGTCTATACAGACAAGGCAACCGGCAAGGAAGTGTAAGTAGAAAAACACTTGAGAGGGGTGAAATGGATTGCATTTTGCAAAAAGGAACCACTAGCATTGCAATGATGCTAAGATTGTGCAACTTCATCTTTGGAAATCGTGAAAAACTATGAAATTTAGATGGTAATTTTTGTCTTAAATTTACAGTTTTTAGCGAATAAAATAGAATCTATCACGGGATAATCGGGTTTTTCCTCCGAGACAAAAGAAGTTTGTAATCTTAGCAACATTGCAATGCTAGTGGTTCCTTTCTGCAAAATGCAATCTAAATAAACGTCTTCTTTCTCAAACTTAAGGCTTTTGTCTTGGAGAATGCATTCTACCATGTTGACGACATCTCAAATCTTTATCCTTTATCCATCGCTTCTTAGTCATTTTCTTATTTTGCTCATAGTCATTTTCTTATTTTGCTCTGTCATTTTCTTATTTTGTTCTTACATTGCCTAATTTAAATCATTTGTACGATCTATATCTGATTCATTTGTGCGACTTCTACGATCCCTTAAAGGGAGTTTATGCACCAGCTTTAAAATAAATAAAAATAAATAAATAAATAAGTATCCCACCTTCAAGGGGTACGTCCAACCCTGGCACAAGGATCGAGTCCATAGGAGAAGTCGGACAAAATTTGGGAACTTTAAAAGCTTATAACTCCGTTTAGACAAAACTTTGAAGTTCTAAAAGTGGTTTCATCGGTTTCCTCGTGAAATTTTCTTCAAAAAGCACCCCTTACAGTTTAAAATGTGGCGAAATAAATATAAAAATCTGCGGTTTTAGTAAAAAATTTCATGTCCGACCTCTCTAGAATTGACTCGATCCTCCGTACGTCGGAGGGGTGCAAATTATTCTAGGCCTCCAAAATTTTCTGCAACGCCCTGGGTTTTCGCATTAAGGTCAACACAACGTGCTAATTAAATTGTTGTCGAATTTTTTGTTCATTTTAGAATGAGTGCCAAAGTCGCATTACCCCACAAGAGTTGAAAATCTGGAAACTGAACAATCTGTAAAAATAGGGTGTTTACAAGTCCAGAATTCTCGGAAAGTCCTGAAATAGTACTGATTTTTTGAGGGCGGTCCAGCAGTACTGAAAAAGTGCGGAAATTCCGCAAGAAGGTCCGGAATTTTTTCCCATTTTTTGTCATTATTGACGCAATTTGAGCGAGAAATTCAAATTTCTGAAATTTTTGAAATTTTGTCAATTGGAGGTACTGAGAGGTACTGGATTTTTTGGAAATGTACTGAAAAAGTACTGATTTTTGGCCAGCCTGTTTTAGTTGACACCCTGAAAAAAAAATACAAATTTTCAGCCCTCACAATTTTTAAAGCAGCTCCAAAATTTTTAAATTTGCACCCCTGGACGCTTTGTGCCTTTTAAGTACCGCGTCATATTTTAAACATTTCAAAATACCCAGCGGACTCATTCGGAGGTCTATTGGGCGTTAGCCCTTAAAAAACATTTAAATGGTCCCAGTGGATCTCCAGAGTGAACTGTGACGAAAGATGAAAATCTACATTGTTAAAATTGGAAAATTCACGATTTCATCGCATAAGATTTTAAATCTTATGCGACCCAGGTTTCTTAGAAACCTGGGTCGTATTCCTAAAATTCAAAGAAAGCAAACTTGTCTAAATATTGTAACCTGTTGATAACCGCAAAAATCATGAACATTGGCTTGGTAGAACTCTAAAACTAAGCGTCACAAGAAATGAAAATTTAGGAGGACTGAGAGCTTGTAGTATATATAATGGCAAAGCTGTAGTTGATCATACTTTAAAAACAGATTCTGAGGAAAAAATAAATCAGGAGCTGATCAAAAAAAGATCCGGGTGAGCAGACGAGCAATTTTTTATTGTAATTTTTTTGCAAAGCAAATAGAGTTAAATTGCGACTTGTTTCTTTAATATTGGTAAATTATTTATACATCCTTTCCTTTTTGCCTTGAAATTATTAGTCATCGATTTTTTAGTCCTTGCTAGCCCGTCCGGCAACGGCCAAAAATAACATTGCCACAACGTTGCTGCAACGTTGCCGCAACATTATTTTTGGCAGTTACATTGTGACAACATTTCCGCATCTACTTCAGGCAACCACTTGCCGGGCGGGAGGGAGAAAACATTAGAAAGCTTTGTCAATCTCGTCATGGTTCAATTTTTCTTATCATGAGCATTTTTAAAACAAGAGAATCAGGTTTAACTTATCATTTTTTATTTTTCATTCCAGCCCAATTGCAACCTCCAAATTTGAGCCAACCTTTGCTCGCCAAGCATTTCCATGTATGGATGAACCTGCGTTCAAGGCAAAATTCTCAATTCAGCTCGTCAGACCCTCAGATAAGAACTACATTGCTCTATCGAACATGAATCAAGTGGTAGGTCCGCTGCTAAGGTTAATCCTCTCAAGACCTAATAAGTAGTGAAGTGCTCATAAATTAATTATGTTTATTTTTTGATAGCTTGTACCTACGCTTTTCTAATTTCAATGATTAGGTTTAATGCAATCAACAAAATTATCGATCACTCTCAGGTGGTTTTCTGGCACCTCTAAAGTTAATAATTGCTAAAGTGTAGGCTACTTCTCCTCTGTGCCTCTCTAAATTCCCCTTTTGTCTCGAACATATTGAACTATATGCAACAGAATGCGAACAAACAAATCTAACAGAATTTGGAACATCATCAATACTAATTCCCTACAATTATCTCCAGTCCTCTGTAAAGAATTTAATTAAAGAGGAAGGTTTGTGCAGATCCAGCTATCATCTGACTTTTACTTCTTGACAAAAAATTTAAAAATTCGTCAAGACATCTTTGTTTAGTAGTTAGATAGTCAATAAAATCATCTAGGTATATTTTTTATGTAGAATTAAATAGAATTGTGATAGTTGAAATTAAGATTCCACTATGACTACCATTCTGAAGAATTTAACCCCTACAACTTAGAATTTTTGTCAATTTGTCTCTCTATAATACCTAGAAATGCAATGCTTAAAGTATTTTAATTTTTTTCTCAGGGAATAGAAGAAGATAAACCATCTGCAGGCCTAACGACAGTTACCTTTGCAGAAAGTGTGCCAATGTCAACTTACCTAGCCTGTTTCATCGTTTGCGACTTCAAGCGTTTTCCAGCAGACAACACTTCCATCTCTGCTCCAAAAGCCTCAGTGCCTATCAATGCATATGCTCGACCGGGTCAAGAGATGTTCATGAAGTATGCACATTTTGTCGGGGTCAATGTTATAGATTTTTACGTGAAATATTTCAACATTGATTATCCTTTACCGAAACTTGGTAATTCTTTGTGTTTCATATATTCCTTTTTTTCTTGTTATAAAGATGTGTTTTGACTGTATTTTACCTATTGACTTAGTCAATGACAGACATTGTTTCCCTAAAAATTTGAATGGCAGTCTGCCGTATGTTGACCATGATCTATTTTTGGCGATTTGAAGGAGAGCCTTTCTATTCATGCACTGGAGGAAAATCAAGCTACTTATAGAGATGCTCTCCATCAGTATTGTGATTCTAATCAGTCAAAATTACCAAAAATTATGGTCGTTTTTGTAGACACCATTCAATAGACTGATTTAATGGTTCCTTCATCACTTTATATTGTAGTTCAGTCTTCTCATTAATTAACTTAAGTTTAATTTTCTTGCTTTTCCGAGGATACTCCCCTTGTATTGGTAGGAGAAGACATATTTCTATCAAGATTTTGTTTAAGAAATTTGTTTCTTTATTTTTCAGATATCATTGGAATCCCTGATTTTGTCAGTGGAGCTATGGAACATTGGGGATTGGTAACGTTCCGTGAGACGAGTGTGTTGTACACTCCAAATGAGAGTTCACTATCTAATAAAAAGAGGATCTCATTGACAGTTGCTCATGAGCTAGCTCATATGTGGTTCGGGAATCTAGGTAAGCAGAGAAGAGATAAGGTTGAACACCTTTATCTTTGAAAGTTTAGCACGAATGAAAAGCTTACTTGCAAAAGTGTTGACTCAAAAATAGATGGGTTCAAACAATCAGAATGTATTTCAATCAACAGTTTTGAAGAGAGACCTTTTTGTTGTGGACTGCTAAGACTGCTAATGTATGTCAGATAGGGATGTGTCTGAAATGATACTTTATCAGCAACAAAAGAAACAAGGAGCACTTGCGAAATCTACTGAAGGCTTTTAATTCCATAGCCATTTAGGTGTTTTCAATCCTGCCAGAGATGTATCCCATTTTCTTTGATCAGTCTCGGCCTACACACTCTTTAGCAACAAGAACGTGTCTGTAAAAATAAGGGAGTGCCTGTGTTTGTTATCAACTACCTTAATTAAATTGATAGCAAGGACACTCAAATGGCTCACATTTTTTCAAAAATAGTTTTACTAATGGTGTAATGTATGTAATATATTTTAGTGAAATTTTGCTAAGCTTGGAAGGAAAACAATCAGTGCCTCATTCAACTCTCTACCTTTACAAAGGAAATGTACAATGCTTTTTCATTATTAATTATTTGTGTCTCCATTTTGTTTTTGTTTTTTAAACTAAAGTCACAATGAAATGGTGGAATGATCTGTGGTTGAATGAAGGATTTGCATCATACATAGAATACAAGGGTGTAAATTCTGTTCATCCAGACTGGGATATTGTAAGTATCACTTTTTGCTCAGCTTTGTTATGAATGCAACTATGTTTCTCTCAAATTCCTGCTCTTCTCTGAAATGTGTACTCAGATTTTTAACATGACGATGGATTACCGGGATGTTTCTAGTTCATGTTTCCAACCAAGACAAGTATTACCATATGCGCAAGATGAAGTTTTCTCTTTCAACAATAATAAAAATTTTGAAATCGTTCTTATCATTATCAAAACGGATTACACATGAAGCCTTATATGTAAGAACAGCTGTTTTTACAGATATGGATTCATATGTACTTCATTTAATAGAAGAGAATTCTGAAATCATCATGTTTTGAAATTGAATCATAATTCCTGCATCTGTGCGTTGAATATCAAATACAATTATAGAACTAAAAGTTAACAACTGTAAGCTCTAAGATTGAAATGAAATAAATAGCACTTCTTCGCTGGATTGGAGTGGGAACTGCAAAAGAAAATTGAAAATAACAAAAATCAAATCTCATTTGGAATGTCAAAATTATCATGGCAGGCGTGTTCTGAGCTGTAGCCCACTCTTGTTTCCCACTGGGCCGGAGCTGGAAACGCATCTTCCTTGATAATTTTTACGCTACAAGTAAGTTTTAATTGCTTTTATTTTAAGATCGTCTTTGATTTATGCATAAAAAATAGGAAAAAAAGAACGAAAAGATAAAAAGCTGCAAGATGTAAGGTGGTTTATTTTGAAGACGTATTTTCTAGTTTAACATGTACAATAAAGAGCAATGACCGATGAGATTATTGTAGTAGACTAACACTTATATCTTTCATTTTCTCATCCCTTCAGGACACTCAATTTTTACATGAAGAGCTTTTCGGGGTGCTAACTTTGGACTGTCAACTCAGCTCTCATCCCATTGTTCAGAATGTTAACCATCCTGATCAGATAACAGAAATATTCGATTTTATTTCGTATTCAAAGGTTGGTGGTTCTGCTTATGTCTTATTTTTCACCAAGACTGCCTTTCTAGTGCTCTCTGATTGATGTGCAGTGAAATCCTATTTTGAGTCTTCAGAAAAATCTACCATATTCCGATAAATGGGCCAGTTAATCTTCAAAAGGATTGACTTGCAATGATAAGTACCGAAACTTTCAAAAAGCTTTGCTAAATCTTACTTTTGGGGGCTTTAAAATTATGAAACAACTGTTTGCCCATTTTTTACCCAAAAACTTTTCTAAAAACTAGGGCATAAGAAAGAGGAAATTGCTAAATATTCACCATTGGGAGAATGAAAAAAGGGGAGATTTCACGAATTCAACACAGGGCTCTTTTTTCGCGCATTACTTCTCAAATTTTTTACAGCGAACTGTTGTTTTTTGTATGGGATGGAAATTTAGGTGTGTATTCTTCCACCATGGAATCTAAATTCATTGTAACTTAGGCTTTTGATTGAAGTAGGTGAACAGTTAAAAACGCTTTGTAGCTTTCGTGGCCATATCTTTTTTGCACTCAAGTACAACTTCTCTCTGTAATGCTGTGACTAAAACCAATTTTAACTTATTAAAAATATATTTCAGGGCTCCTCTGTCATAAGAATGCTAGAAGCTTTCATGGGTGAGCAACCATTTCAACAAGGAGTGGTCTCTTACCTGACCAGCAACAAATACGGTAATGCAGAAACCAAGGACTTGTGGGACCATTTACAGAAGTTTGCTGGTGATGTCAAAGTTGCTGATGTGATGGGTACTTGGACAAAACAGATGGGATATCCTGTTGTCAATGTTAAACGAAGTGGCAACAAACTTACCTTGAGCCAAAAAAGATTTCTGCCAGACAAGTCAGAGTCCACCACCGAAATGGCTAAAAAGTAAGAAAATAATTGCTCAGTCTTCAGTTATCAACAACTCATTTTGACTTAGTGTTTTGATTTTTGTAAGCATGAAGGAGTTACATTAATGAAGGAAATTGTGGATAAAACATGATGTCAGTATTATGCATTTGCATGCACAGGCTTTGCTAGCATTAGGCCTTTGATAAGACTTAAGAGTAAGTGGATGTGAATTTCAAAAAATTCTCAAATTAGGTATTTTAATTGAATTGCCTATCAGTATACAAATATCATCCCATGCAAGTAACAGGAAATTACTTCTTTGTTGGCAGGGGATGTATCAAAACATCTGAAGTTTTTGCTCTAAATTAAAATTTTGTCCTGCAAAGAAGAGTAGGTATACAGCAAAATTTTGTTCAAAATCAATTTTCGAGCTTTTCTTAATTTGTTGATTTTTTAATTTCCTTTTCAACATCAGATCTTGTTTTTTTTTAAAAAAAACCATTTTGTTCTAAATTTTTTGCAGCATGAAATTAGCAGATAGTAAATGGGATGTACCAATAATGTATTACACCTCTGCTGATCCTAAAGTAAAACTAGCGTGGCTTCCGAACAACCAAGATTCCAGTAAGTTTGGTTTTTTCTCAATTTTCAGTTCTCATAACCTCTCTCACAACTGCTGCCAATAAACTGTTCAGTGTCTTATGTTTGAAAAGTGTGAATGAAGTTCTTAAATTTTCAATGCCTCTCTAAACTAGACTCTAAATCGTTCAATTATTTGGTTAAATTTTTGAATTCTTTGCTCCTCTATTAGATGCTCTCAAGTATATGTAGATTAATTTAATAAAATATTTTCTCAATACCCGAAAAAAAAGACTGGTGTAGGCAAAAAATCTAGAAAGGAGAACTGAAAAAAATATCAGCGGCCAGTAAAAATACATCACTCTAGCATACTATTTCTGAAAGATTCAGGGACAATAGGGGCCGTCCATAAATTACGTCACTCAAGTCCGGGGGGAGGGGGTCTAGCAGTGGACGAAGGTGGGTGATGGGGAGAGAGGGGGGTCAAGCCAAGGGTGGCGTAAGCTGAAGGCAAAAAAGCTGAGAATGCTCGCTTGAAATTTAAGAGTACATGATGTTTGAACGCTGCAGACTATATATACAGATTTTTATCAATTTTCTGTGTTTTCCCCCAAAAATGAGGGAGGGTGTACGCTAAGGATAATGTATATCTCAGGGGGTTCTAGCAGTGGATGATGGTTGGATATGGTGTTGGAGGTAGGGGTCCAAAGACTGTAAAAAATGGGTGACATAATTTATGGTCGGCCCAATACCTTGTCATTGTTCTTTGAAATACTCTGTAAAAGGCTGCTAAAAGAATAGAAAATCTGTGGAAAGAAAAAAAAGAATCTGAATCAAATGTATTTTTTTGTTTTTGTTTTTAGCAACAATTGATGTGGAACCTGGCACTAGTTGGGTAAAAATCAACTACAGAAATTATGGTTACTACCGAGTCAATTACGATGCCGATGCGTGGAGTCTTTTCAGTTCTACCCTTGATAGTAACCCTCATGTAAGATTTATATTCTCTTTTTTAGTTTGATAAGTAAACACATCAGTGTGAACTGTTTCTAGGTTGTAAATTGCTGGGGTATTTAGAGACACTAAAATAATGTCATAGTCATGCCTTTTTAATAACAAGAGAAAACTAATCTAATCAAGTATTTAAGAAGGGCCTAGTTTTAACTTTTTAGCGTTGATTTTAGCAAAGGCTTACAAAACTTTTAATGTTGAGCTCTCATATCATGGGGAGAAAAGCTGTCGTTTGACTCATAATATTTTTCCATCTTAAATTTAATTGGAATAAAATTATAACAACTAGCACTGTAATCTTTTTGATCAATCTGTCATGAAAGTTTTAATTGCCTTTCAAATATTAATTTTAAGAAGATCAAAAGACTGGAGTCCTCAATCACGCAAGAATAGAAATGAAACTGATAGAAATGTACTCTTATGAATTTTTTTGCAGCTTTGTGGAGTGTTTTTTCTCGGCATTCAATTGTATGTTTTAAGAGATTCTCTCTTACTTTCATAAATGTAGTCTCATACTTTTTTCAGATTTTTAATGCTGCAGACCGAGCTAGTCTCTTGAATGATGCTTTCAGCTTGGCAAAAGCAAGCCACCTCTCTTATTCTGTCCCGTTGAACCTGTGCAAATATATAAAGTCTGAAAACCACTCTGTGCCTATCGCCGTAGTCTTAGATAAATTTAAGGACATCAAAGAGCTCTTGCGCGACACCCCTATTTATGATGAATTTTTAGTAAGTATCCTTCATCATTATTCTCCTTGGTTGATAAAAATGGTTCCGAATTCTTCATTTTTTTATCTGTAAATTTGAAGTGGTTATGTTGACCTCTACAAAAAAGGTCATGTTCATAAGAACATATATTTCTAATTTGGTATTTCTATTTTGGTAATATTTAATAATGTGACTGTGAATGTGAATATAACTCTCAGGGCCTTTATTGGTATGAAAATATTTTGGTTTTTCCTATTCTACTATACAATAATAATGTATTTGAAAGAGATTGAATAATTTAGTGTATTCTATGTAGAAAATAAAGTATGACAGTAAAACTGCATCACTGCAAACCGAGGCACACATTTCTGCAGTTTTCCCATTGATTCGTTAATTTGATTATGATTTGCGCACTGTTCAGTAGAAATCCGTCTTAACTTCATTTCAAGTTGGGTTTTGTGTACATTAGTATATTAGTGTCTTGAACTAGTCTTGAACACATACGGTTTTTGATGCCTGGTTCTAGACAAAAGTACCCACTATGCTCTTGCATTTAAGGCAATTTCTTGATTCCTGCCGTTGGTTTCTGTGCTTTAAAGTGGAGCTAAATATAAACTTGATTAAAGAAAAATAAAAAACTTAGAACCAATGGAATGGTGATGATTAGACCGTGATTTTATTTCCTTAAATTACTGTAATTTGAAACTAGAGGAACATGGCTTTCTTGCAAAAGAGCTTTGAATTTATATGTCCTTTCCTGTTCATTTCAGGCTTTTGGGAGGAAAAATATCGTTCTTCCTGATGATGTATGGAATTTCACTGAAGACACAAGCTTTTTAGAAGGGTAAGTATTTCAAATTTTTTGGAAACTGTGGTAAATATTCCCAATTTTAGATAATATTTTCAGAGAGGTAAAGTTTTTCATATTTTTGAAATGATTAGACGAAATTCTATTCATATAAAAAAAGTAGTATCTATTTTAACTATATTGTCGATAATGAGACTACAGTAAGACCTCGATTTATCGAATCACTATTTAACGTATCCCTTCATTCAACGGATTGATCCCTCCGTCCCTCCAAGGGCTTCAAACTACTCGATTTACCGAATTCTGCAATTTAATGGATCAATTCATCAGTTTCCTGAAATCTTATGAATCAAGGTTCTCCTGTATACCGCTTTACCTTCATACTGTGGAAAATAAAACAACTGCTTGATTATTTTACTTCTAACTGCAGATACTCAACATTTCTCAATAATAATTCATTCTCATATGTAACAGTCCTTTTTTTCATTTAAGAAAATAATGTTTGGGCTTGGAGGAACAAGCTCATTCACCATTTGACACCACTGATTATAAATGATTTGCGTAGAGGAACATAGTATATCATTCAACTCACAAGGAAATGCTTAGAGGAACATAGTACATCATTCAACTTACAAGGAAACGGAATCTAATCATTTCTGCTCAGTTAAATAGAATAGTCAATCGCTATGAGAATTATTTTTAGGTATACACATCAACCTATGCAATGATTCTTTTCATCCCTGCAGATGGAGTAAGAAGACACATGAACAGGTCCTAGCCTTCATGATTTGAACAGTTCTCATTGATTCTCTAGCTTTTTGAGCTTTCAGATTCATTTAATCCTCCTCTCTTCCCTTGATTACTGATATAAATGTAATACATATTACATACCACATAGATGATGAAAAATATCACTGAAGCAACTTTTTTTGTGTTTGATGATAACTCAGCTGAATTGAATTATAATGGAAATTTTTTTTTGTAGGGAATTCAAAAGCACTCTGTTGAATCTTGCTTGTTTGCTTGAAATTCCGGAGTGCACAAGCCAGGCTAGCAAAATTTTCCTGTCGTGGCTGACCAATAATGGCCCTAAACCGTATCCGGACCTTCGTTCTCTCGTTTATAATACAGGTAAATTATTACAGCTAATTCTCGGTTATTAAAAATACTTATTTAAAAGAGTGTTGCTTTGTTTAAAAAACTTGCTGTAATTCCTCGTAAATTTTCTTTACAGCACAAATCTGTATTTTTTAGGAGGATTTTAAAAAATATTTTAAGCAAAGTTATCATTTTTAAACTTTTTTTTGTTAATTGAAACGCATTTTTTGATAAATTGATGATGTATTAAAGTTTTTGTCAATCAGAAACGTCAGTCGGAAAGCAAAGCTGATTGCTTTTCTTCTAACTGTGCTTAGATAAGTTTTTTTAGCTCTAAATTCTATTTATGCTTATTTGGCAGGAATGAGGGCGAACTCTACAGAAGAAGTGTGGTCAAAACTCTGGGAAAAATATCTCGCTGAAACCACACCGTCTGAAAAGCTGAAACTGATGGTCGCCTTGACTACCCCTCGAAACAAGCAGATCCTGGAAACATTGATTCAGAATATAAAGAATGAATCCTATATTCGGTCACAGGACTACTTCATTGTTCTTAACCTGATCGGCAAAAACCCTGTAGGGACTGAACTTGTGTGGGATTTCATGCGCAGTGAGTGGCAATACCTTGTTGACCGTTTCACGCTCAATGATCGGGCCTTCGGACGTCTGATTCCTAATGTATGCTCATCCTTCACAACAAAAGAGAGGCTCCAGGAGATGAAAGAATTCTTTGCAGGATATCCAGAGGCAGGAGCTGGAGCTGCCGGTAGAGCGCGAGCTCTGGAAACAGTCAATAACAATATCGAATGGTTGGCAACACACTATAAGTCGATTGAAAATTTCTTAAAGCAGAAGAAGTAAAAAAATCTATCTTAAAATGAAATAGGGCTTCCAGTCATATGTTTGATAACCATTTGCTTTTGGGAAATCTTCCCTTGCAAGATGATTACTATCACTTGAAACAAGCTTTAGTGCGATCTTGAAGATACATGTTTATAAATGATTTTTCTCTTGCGGCCTGTTAATGAATAAGATTGGAAATAAAAGTGCAAAGCCAGGTTGAAGGCACCATGTTACACTTCAGAGTATAATAAAAACAAGAGACGATGTGGGAGAACGAGGTGGATAAATAATATTTGCAACACTAGATTCACAAGATGAAGATCACTAATTTTCACTTAATCACTGAAATAAGTGATACTTAGTTTCCAAAATACATATTATTAATAGATTAATTATCATTGAATATGTTTCTATTATAGTAATTATTTCAATAGTGATTTTTATTAAGGCAATAAGTTTAGAAAATCATAACTTGCTATATTTTATAATTTTACTAATTACAGAAAAAGTACTTGGTCTGTCTATTTTGATTAGTATAATTCGAACCCATGGAAATGATTTTATAAAATATTCGACGGTACTATAAAAATAAATAAATATTTTGAGACGCAAGGATGTACTCTGTTTACGAAAGAGTTCGGAATTCAACATTTGGACTCTCATTTCAAAACTTCAGAAATTTCCTGATGCTAACAAATGTATTCTGTTATTTTTCTCTCATACTTTCTTTCCACCCTTTTCCATTTCATTGTTTTAAAGAATTGCTAATGTGTAGAGAAGTAATTTATGGTCCTAAGAAATTTGAAATCTCTGAAAATCCATGATCAGCCGAGAATTTAATGTTTAAAGAATGATCAAAAAAACTTTCAATTTTTTTTGTCGCTTTTTATGATTGTGAAAAGTGAAGAAACTGTCAATTATATAGCCTTGCATTTTTTCACGGGTAACTGTAATTTTGGTTTGTCAGTATGATTTAAAAGAGGCATAAGAAAGCTGTTACTTAAAGATGATCTTTTCTCCATGATTTCATTCATTTCCAGTTTTTACAAAGCTGAAAGTACTCTGCACCTTGAGGTCTCAGGGATATGCTTTTTTTTTAGCATGCATTCAATGTGCTGTGATATAAATTTTAAATTTTCTATCTGTGTAAATTTCTTCTTGCTTTTTCAATCATGAGCTTGCATCTTGTACCATCGACCTATGATAAATTTCCTCTTGAATCATTTACATGAGCACTAATAATATCTGTTAGAAGCAGTCAGTTAGTATCAGGGAACGTTCATCTTACTATCATTGTCCTTCTCCAACTGTTTTCCCTGCAAAACTACCACCCTGATGGAAGTTCAGAATCCTGTCAAACATAGAAATTCTTAATTTAATTAGTTTTACTCAATTTTTAAAGGCAATTTCAACTGTAATTCATTTCTTTACTCTCTGCAGCCTGATAGTTGAAACTTTGACTGGCTTTGTCTGCAAGATAAGACAAGATATAACCCTACCTGCGCCAAGTAATACATCAATTTTCGATTCTTGTCGTGCCAACCCTAATTTCAACAATCAGGCTGCTGGTAGTCTACAATTCTCTAGTTCTTAATATCGGTCTTTAAAGCTAATGGAGTCTTTGAGTATGATACTACAACTGATTTTAATCTTAAGTTTTTATTTAATTTTTTTAATCTATTCCTAAACTATTGAATTTATCAGCCTTGCTCACTTTTTTTTCTTGCTACCAGTTTTTTGTCGTACGAATGAATCAGCTGCAAAACTATGATTTTAGATTATCTTTTGTACACATAAATTACTCATAGAATTCTGCTTAAAAATTTAATGAAACTTTGTATTTACCGATGAGACTAAATAAGACCGTGCTGAAACATATCGGCGGTGAAACTGCAGGAATGCCTATCTCGGCTTACAGTGCTGCAGACTTCCTGTCACACTTTATATTTTAAAAGGAAAAATTCTCAACTTTTTTTCTTGAGAACTCTCATTTTTTCCCTGTTTAAGGGGAATAATTTATGAAAATTGCAAGCGATAGCGTTGATGGTTTGTTCTCCTTTGATGAAATAAAAAAGGAGCGGAGATTTTGAAACATTGCAAATGAGATTCTTTGTTCTGCAGTTTTACCATCAATGTTGGTCTCCTTAATTGGTTGGATCTCCTTCCTTCTGTTCTGTGTTCTTAATGAAGTCAGTAGCAAAAAGCTATTAGGTAACATCTTTTGGGATGCTGTTCAAATCGCCAGCCCAACATTGTAAAAATACAAATGAAAATATCACTTATCGACCCAACCGTCAACACCATTCTTGCATAGTATTGTCATAATGTGGCAACATATACAAAATTTCAGTAAGTAACTTACTGGTTTTGTTTTTTGTTTTAAAAAAGAGAGTAAAAATGTTAATGTACTTTAAGATGATAAATAGGCCTTTTCAATTGTGATATTAGCCCTTAAGAATGAATAAAAATTTTAAATTGTTTTTAAATCATGGTAGTTTCTATTTTTTTTTCTTATTTCGCCCTCCATTCTTCATTCTTTTCTCTTCTCTTAAAAAGCCATAATAACAACTCTGGGCTAACATCTCAAGACCGACTTTGAAAACTCCTTAATTTTTAATCTTCATGAAATTGCCTTGAGTACTTACCTGCTTTTTTAAGGGAAGGATTAACTTATTCAATTTGCAGTTGAATAAATGGAAGTTCAGAAATGTTCGATATTAGTAATGTAGGTACCTGTGAATCTCCAACCTTGAAACTATGCAGAATATGCATCATCATCATGCCATCAAAATGATTTCTCAAGTTAAGTCATTTGTTCTTTTTTTCAAGAGGGGATAGAATGCATATTTCAATGCTCTGATTAAAGTCTAATACTTTGACGATCCAACTGAGATTATGGAATGGTAGTTTTTTATGGATATAGCAGTCACAAAATCGTCAAGACATGTTGTCAGGAGAAGAAATTATTAATCATAATGATTCGAAATTGGCCATATTCAGTGGTCAAAGAGACTAAAATTACCTACCTAAATATTCTTCGTTCAACAATCAATATAGCATCTGTTGACTTAGTTGTCTCAGTGGCTCATATATTTTAAGTGCAATATACATAAATGTCGCATATTGTGAGATTATGGACTTCACAAAATCAGGATTTTGCGGAGTGGTACCTACCTAAGGAACAGTGGTGAGACTACAAAAATGCGTAGATAGGTAGGTACCTCACTTCGCAACCCTGCAGACTTCCTGTCATAATTATTACTTTTTCAATGAAAAAGTACATACTGAAAGTAATTTTTTGAAGACTCTCTTGAAGATTTCTCTTCTCTTTGTGAAGATTAGGTATCCTGTGAAAATTTCAAGCAGTAGTGCAGGCTCTTCTCTTTTGGTATAGAGCACAATCATGTAAGATGAGGACAAGATACTGCAAATGGGAAATATGTTCTTTACAGTTTTAAAGTGATACAGATTATTTTGGATCTTTCAAAAGTCTTTAACCTCCCCAGTAAAATGAAAATTGATTTTTGAAAAATAATTTAAAATTGAATTTAACAATTAATACTATTTATTGCAGATAGTGCTTTGCACAATTTTTTTTACATTATATTTTGAGGGTTTTAGAAAGTACTTTCGGGGATGCAATGAAAGAGTCGTATGAGACTCTAAGATGTATCTTACACCCAGGAAAATGTATAAAAGATTAAATTTCAAACAATTAAAAATAAAAATAAAAATTCAAAATAAAAAAATGTAGAAATAAAAGAACATTATTTTCGTCCTCTTGGCAACACAGCACCGCTGGAAACAGTCAAAATCAAAACAAACAACATCAAAATATAACCTAAAAAACTTTTGCAATCGGTTTGGAAAATAATTTTCAGCAGTGTTGTGTTTTTACCACGAATTCAGGTACCCATACTCCGAAAGTTTTAGACAGAAACTTTATAAATTGATAGTACAGTTCTGTGTCGACTTCCTAATGTCATTTTTTCCATCTGGAGAGAACATGTGGACATCAGAACGAAAAAGACAGTAAGCAGCTGTGGGTGTTAATGTTCCTAATTTGCACATTATAACTTGTAGGCGTTTCTCATTTATTTTATATTGATTTTCGTGTTCCAAATTTGTCTACAACTCTCAGGAGGCCCTCTGGAATCTGGCACTATCGTTCGTAATTTCTGACGAGGTAAGTGGCTGCAGGACACCAAATTATGTATCTGTGATGAAACCCATTCAACCATTACCAATGCATTTCCTCAAATAATAAATGCATTAATTGTTTTTTTCATCTCATTTTCCTTCAGATTCAATTTTTCAGAAGTCCATCAAGGAATTGAAATTTTGTAGAGGATTCATAGACATTACATACGTAAATTACCTAAAGTAGAAGAGTGTGAAGAAGTTAGCCATTCTGCATAGCAACATAAGTTTCAAAATCAGCTAACCCAAGAAAAGATTAGCCCAAGTATAGGAGTGCGGAGGGAGTACTATTTTTTTAGCTGCCAATCAGCCTGAGTAAGGAAGTTTAACCTCTGTGCAAAGCAGTAAAATTCAATTTTTCATCCCGAATGGAATACCCTTAAATAATTCTAACGATTTTTGTCTTATTTGCCCCATGTCAAAAAGTTGCTCAACCTTTAATTAAATAACTGTTTCTCTCTTCACTATTCAGCATTGCAAGTGGAAATGTTTTTTGAAGATCTTTAACCGCTGTCAAGGAATTTATTCTCAATGGAGCCGACGAAAGGAAGCCAGAGCTGTGGAACTATTGATAAAGAAGCTGCAAACAAACTCATCGAGGATTTAAATGTAAGTTCCTTTCTTCTCTGCAGGCACCTTACTAATTGCCTCATGAATCAGTGAATTTCTGGAAAACCCCTGACTATCTGGTCCAAAGACATAAAGATGGAGCACTCGTTTTTAATAACACGGGGAAGAAGTGAAGCTGCCCTGGCGCTCTGTATGTGTGTGAGTGTGTAAATAAGCGCGGGAATTCATGGCAGCAAACAGAAATTTGATTTGAACTTATCCTTTTAATTTTTGCACATTTCTTGCTCTAAAATCGTTTTAAATGCCTACAATGAGCAAATCAATAATGTTGGGACGGTGACTTTTTATGATGAACCTACTTTGGCTGGGTAACAAGCGAGGATCTCAGACAAAGTTAGTTTTTCTGTTGCTCATGGTGGTCCTGCCGGTCCAAACAGGCCGTTACAGTCCTAGATGATCGTTACTTCCAAATGAGATTAATCGGTCAATGATGGACCAAAAAATAATCTGAAGTTTAAGAAATATATGTGGGTAAGCAAATTTGCACAAAAATCAACCCAGAATACTTTGTTTATGCTATTTTATTCTGTTGCCGCTCTTTATTTGAATTTCAAACAAAGTAGTCAGATAAAAAGAGAAAAATGAAGTAAGTAAATACATGCAATGAAAAATATATGAATATGACATAGGTATATATTTATGAAGCAATGAACTTTAAAACAAAACCTACTTAACAGGATCTTTAAAGTGAAGTAAAGTAAAACATCCATAAACTTCAAAATGTCCTGACTAAAAAATTCTTCAGCAAGTCTCCTCTCTTTCATAACCTTCACATCTCTTGAATCTCATGCACAAATGATTTCTAAGCTTATCTACTGATTTAGTCAACCAAACCTTTTTATATCGCAGAAAGCAGTTACTGATTTGTATGAATTTGAAGAAAATTATTTTACTAATCATCCAATATCTGATGCACCCAAAAAAACTGACCATGTCCAAGAAAAACTCAACGAGACTCTCTCAAGGCTGAAATCAGAGTTTGATCAATTGAAAGGTAAGTTTTATTGTACCTATTTGATGTTACATAGAAGATGCTCTTCTAATTTAAGTAATTTTAAGAGAAGAAGGTCCCAAAGTGATTTTATAACTCCTCAATATAATGCTGAGTGTTATTGTTTAGAAAATTCTGAACCTTTTGGTCATACATTTCTGACTTCCACCTGCCTTTGACGGTACGTATATCGGTATTCCATAATTCGTCACCTTCCAGGCAAAGTATCACAAGCGCCATGCGACGTTTAAAAATTTCCGCCGCCATTTTATTTCTTTACTGAGAAATTGTTGGTTGAATCTGTTTGGAAATTTCACTAAATTTATTCGGCAGCACAAAGAAAATTCAGTGAAATTTTTGGACAGCTTCGTTGAACAATTTCTCTGTAAAAAAATAAAATGGCGGCGGAAATTTTTAAACGTCGCATGGCGCTTGTGATACTTTGCCTGGAAGGTGACGAATTAATTTTAATGCATTCATATTGGCTCTCTGATGAATGAAAATATACATTTATACTTCCCTTCGGAAATTAAAATTTACTCCAATTTAAATCATCCAAGGTACAGCACGTAAGACTTGAGTCATTCACTCTTAAGTCGGTGACTGATATCAGTGCAATAATTTGGACAAAGGAACTTGATCATTTTTTTTTGAATTATTGTTATGCTGTCAACTTGCGTAATGGACTTACGCGACTCAAGAGCCGTATCTCTATTTGTCCAATAGAATTTTCCTAACAGTATACACTTTCCTTGTTGAGATCGTATTGCTAATGCACTTCAAATTGAGTGATCTAGTGATAACATTTGGCTGTATAATACTGATAGCCAAAGTTGAAAAATGCGCACATCAGAGTGTGATGTTGTAAGTCAGGACTCACTTTTTTTATTTCTTAAAAGAAAACTAACTGACAGTATCAATTGAAATTTCTTGCGAATCTCCTTCACTCACTAAAAAAATATTACACAGAATTGCAAGGAAACATTTTGATTATTTTGCCTTGAAAAAAGACAAATAATCAAAGATGTCTAAACATTGCAATGGGGACATGCGTTTTTGCCATCGATTTAAATTCCGTTTGTTTGGTACTGTTAAAGATTTTCCAGAGTGTGAAGTGAGAGCTCAGTGTTACTACCTTCTAGGACGAGCACTGAATATACATCCTGCTTTCAATCCTGAGGCGGAGGAAGCTTTATCAAAAGCAATCAAGTTAGATCCAAGTCTGGTGAATGCCTGGAATGAGTTGGGTGAGTGTTTTTGGAAGAAGAATGACATGGAAGAGGCAAAAAATTGTTTTAATGGAGCTCTTAAACGGGTAAGTTTCTTTGTTTAGCTTTTTATTTCCCTTGTTACCTTGTTGAATGGTCCATCCGAGCATTTTGATATCTTCTTCTGATGACAGTTGTAATGGTGTTATAGTTGTCAACATTGAAAAATAGACCATGAAAAATACGTCTTGGAGATCTCATTGAAATTTTAGCTAGTGAAACAATGCGTCTCTAGCAATTAGGTACTTTAAGAATTTTTCAAAAAGAAAGAGATTGAGTTGATTTCATGGAGTTCTAGATAAATACCTTCATCAGTCAATTTTTTTCTTATTTTTAGTTGTTGAAATCAACCTAAACGCTCTTGCTCATCATTGACTATGCTGAGAATGAGAATCCACTTTTCATTTAAAGTTGGTCACGATAGCTAGAAGCTAAACTTTTCCTGTTAGTTCGCACTCAGTATTATTGAGTTTTTTAAAATAGTGCTGTCTTTGTATGTTTTTTCAGAGTCATAACAAAGTTTCATTACGTAACTTATCTATGATATCTCGGCAAGAGGCAGCTAAGTCGACAAAGGAGTGTAAAGAGAAAATTGATATCGGTGTACAATATGCTAAGGATGCCCTCAGCTTAGATCCATGCGATGGATTATCTTGGTCTGTTTTGGGCAATGCACATTTGTCAGCATTTTTCAGTATTCAACAAAACCCTAGAACTTTGAAACAAGCCATGTCAGCATATTACCAAGCTGTAAGTGTGTGTTTTCTTTGGTTCTCTCCTCTCCCAAGGTCTTAATTTTTTTGTATTTAAGTTTACAGGAAGTTGACAGTATCTGTAGAACAGAATAATAGGCAATGTGTTGTTTGAAAATGAAAATATGCATTTCTTTCCATTTCTGAATTCCTAAAAAAAACTTAGGTGAAAGAACTCTTTGCAAACCATTTCCTCTAATCTCTTTAAAAATGTACATACAAGATCGTTATCAAATTTCACAAATAAGCTAAAAACCCTAAAATATTTTCTATCAGCACAAGTAAATGGTACATCATGAAAATCAAATTTCACAAATAAGGTTCTAAAATCCCTCAAAATGTTTTCTTGGGGCACAAGTAAATGGTACATCATGAAAATAGTAGATTTGAACATAACTGTACAGAGGCAGGAGATTGAATCAAGGAAAAAGTTTTTATCTCATCGGTGAATAGGTCTGTAGCACGCAAGAGATATAAACTGATTACTTTTTCTAAGAAGAAATTCGCTTAAATATCACATTGGGAGCATCAAGAAAGTCTGAAATCCATTCCTTAGCCTGCAGTCTGCGTAGTTTGTAACACGCTTATCAAATTTTCCGCATATGCGGGCAGTTCTTCTTGGTGGCCGGTAGTCAGGTTTGCCCGGAGAGAAATCTGACCTAAATCATCAAACAATCATGTGAACTATTACAAGCTTGCCTTGCATAAGATTTTGATTGATTCGAAGCTTTGATTTTTGCAACATTAAGAAAGAATTTAACTAAGGAAATTTTTAAAATTAAGGTAACAAACACTTCAAAACCATTGAAATCAAACAAAAGAAAAAGTTAGTGAAATTGATTGTTTACTCGGGTCAGTTTTTTTTTACTCTTCTGCCTGTGCAAACCTGGTTGGCGGTGACTGAGGAAAACTGCCGGCAGATGCAGGAATCTTGAAAAACGTTTTACAAATTAAGCAGATTGCTCACTGAGGAATGAATTTCAGACTTTTTTGACGTGCTCAATGTGACGTTCGTGTGATTTAACTTGAATAGAGTATTAGTTTTTGGATGTACCTCTTGGGTGCAGCAGACCCATTATCAAGGAATATATGCTGAACGAATTTGTCAGAATTTTATGGTGTCTCTTCAGCTTAGATGCTACTACTCAGTCCCACAGAAAGTGGTATCTCACCCGTAAATAAAAAAGTGATAGTGGAGTACTACTTTTCATAATTCAAGGTTGCTTATTGAATTGATACATAAAGTTGGAAGTAAACACATTTACTTCTCAGTTCTTATGAAAACTGTCTCTTCATTTTCATCATATATTATCATATGTTATATATTTAATTTTTTCTCCTTTTGTAGGAAAAGGATCCTGTGGCCCAGAATAAATCAGATCTACACTATAACAAAGGAGTTGTAAGTGAAATTAGTTGCTAATTTTCTATGATCAATATTTTCCTCATGATCAAGAAACCTCATCTTTTAAGTGCTAAAAATGAAACCCGTTTGAAACAATATTACCAATGGGCTCTGCTGTCATAGCCTGGTAAAGGGAATTTCGTTTGCTGAGTGGCTAAACTCAGCCAGAGTCTTGCTATGTCAACTTGACGGTAGGCTTTTGATGGGTTGGGTTTTGATTAGTCTCCTCTCCCTTTAGTAATGCTTTCTGAACTTTTTAATGAACTTTTTTGTTTTTTCACGTAATTTTACATCAGAAAAACTTTACCATAATATGGCAAAAATTCCTTGACACTGTCCTATTGTATTGATAAATGAATACTACTGAGGTGAACTACAACGCTAATGGACTATCTGTAACTTGCAGGCTTTAAAGTATGAAGAGGAATATCCTGAAGCCTTAGAATCATTTGAACGTGCTAAAAATCTCGAGCCTTCATGGGAATTACCCGGTCTCAAGCAAGAGCAGTTATTGAAGTACTTAACTAACACTCAAATCCTAGTCAATCAGCATGGCCGGTTGAAAGCCAAGAAGCTTGCATCATTGCAAAATGTAAGTACTCACATCGCTAATTTTTCATCATGAAGAAAATGTGTTAAAAATAATTTAAAGAGTATTCTTGGCAATTTTTGTTTTTGAAAACATTACATAATATTTTGGAAAAATCCTAAAATCTTTGTAGTCATCTTCAATTAACTTTTTTTGATTAAAAAAAAGAACAAAACAAACAAATCTGGACAATGGACAAAGTATTCCCTAACTTCTATTAAATTTATTATCTTCAAAAAATGGGGCACACCATAGCTGATTGCAGGGCAGGCATGTCCGAAAAATGTACTCCAATGTGATTATATTTTTTTACATACATACATATAAGTCGCTTTACAGCACTCCCTCGCGCTCTACAACTCCTAACCTCCACTGCTCTCTTTCAAACCACAAATCATGGGGGATTGAGCACCTTAACATTTCCGCTTCAATCCTTTCCCTCCAACCTTTCATTGGGCACCCTCTGCGTCTTCTCCCAGGAGGAACCCAGTCAAGGACCTTCTTCGGCAACCTGTCTCCTGCCATTCTCTGGACATGACCATACCAAATTAGTTGTTTTGTCATAATGTCATGCACGATGGTCTGCTTGGCATCCATGATCTCCCGTACCGTTTCATTTCTGACGCAATCCTTTCTGGAAATACCAGCGGATCTACGCCAGAAGTCCATCTCTGTTGCCTCTAAAACCTCCCGGGTCCGCTGTTTCATTGGCCATACTTCACACCCGTAGGTTACTATGCTCTTGACAATCGCGTTGTAGATCCTTCTTTTGTTCTCTTTGGAGATCCTTTGGTCCCAAAGGACTCCATTTAACATAGTGATTGCCCTCCTACCCGATTATATTTTTTTAATTAATTAAAAGATTTTGAAACTTTATTTCTGTTAAGCAGGATTTCGGATGTGTTCCTTCTGTGATACAAATAATCTATTTAATTAATGTACAAAATAAAATTAAATGTAAGACCTCTTTCATGACTAAAATATGCACTCTCTTAAAAATGTGTCCACACTTAATAGCAAACCTCAAGCTAGAAATGAATTTCTGATGAAGGCTTATTAATGTTAAGGAAAATCTTAAGGAAAATTTACTTGGTAAGCATAGTCAGTAGTAAAGTATGTTTCCTATTTACAGCATTCAGCACTTGAATAATTTCTTTGTTTGACCCATTGTGCAACCACAGGAGTTAAAGCTGCTTTTATTCAGCTGAAAGTGGCTTTTGTCTAAGTGAAGCAAATTTTTCCTGCACACTAAGGTTCTTCATAACATCTGTAATTACTATCAATTCATTTAATTTTTTTTTTTATGTTTAGACGCTTGACGAAAAATCTTTAGGACCCTACGCAGGTGGAAATTTTACAAGTGCCAGTGGGACATCAGTAACTCTTACCAGTATTCCTTTCTCGAAGCTGAAAGAAGGTGTCAACTCAGAGAAAGTCATTCTTGGATTTGTTGTTTGCTCAATTCATGATGACGATTCAGTTCCATTGTAAGTGTGCTTTTTTACATAATTTATTCATGGTGTTTGGAAACCACCTATTTAGGTATACGACATTGCAGATTTCCTGTCTTCCTCTGAAGGATACACTAAGAATTAAAATATCTTTTGAGATAAGTTGAAATAGATTTGTAAATCTTCCCGTTTGGAAGTGAAAAAAAAAACTAATGTAATCAGAACAACTAACAAACCTTTAAAGTTGAAAGGGACACACAAAATACCATTAAACCCCACTGCACCAACCATAGATACCAGCCTTACACTGAGTAGCAATGCCAAGTATGACAATAAGCCAATCTTTGAGCCGGTCGGCTCTATATATCTCTAAAGAAATAATTAAGATTCCTAAGTTTTGTGACTTTTTGAGGTTTGCCCACCTGCAGCAAAAAAGCTGCTCAAGAAGTCAAGCTGAAAATTAGCATAAAGATACTTCAGGTCTGAAGAAAGCAGCTTTTTGATGGCAGTTGTTTTTACATTCACCATCATCAGAGCTATGATAGTTTCATAACATTAAAAGAGACCAGTATTGCCTTTAATTTCTCTATGTTTTTTTAATGTTTACCTGAGTTTAAAAAAATACATAGAGAATCAACCTAAAATTTGATTCGAGAATTCTTCAGGTTTCAAAGAAGTGTCTTCTTGGTGGCTAATGTTTCTGAATGAATTGATCTTAAAGAGAGAAAGAATAAAATATGGTTAGTTTTGCTGCTTTCTACAAATTAAAATTTATGATGGGTTTTATGTTGTTAATAAAACACCGAACATTGTAGCACTGAGGTGCAATTTCTCTGACAATTCCCTCCCGCCCGGTGTAAAAATCAGCAAAGCTCTCTGAGGTAGCTGCGCTGATTTTTACACAAAGAAGTATTCCTTCAAGAAAAGAGTAGCACCATTTCAAAAGAGATCCTCTCATGCCTAGCCTTTCTGGCACACAGATAAGCAAATTATTTACTTTCTTTTGAAGTATTATTCTGTGAAGTCGTATCAAATAAATATCTCAAAGCACCAGACATTGTTTCATAAAAATTGGAAGACTGTCAGCAGAATCAGTCTAACTTTAATTTAATGATGCCTGAGTTCCTTTATTGTTTTATCTATTCAATTGAAAATTGAGTACCGCAGTGCCGTGAAACTTCCTGAGAATTTCCTCTAAAAGAGATGGTACACTCCTAAAATTTTGAGGCAGATTTTTGTTTTGTTATCTGTCAAAAAAATAAAATATGACAGATAAATTAGGTATTGAGGAATGTAGTTAATTTTGGCAGTATTAAATTAGTCTGTGCTTAATGACCGTGTCTCAATCCCTCTAATTTTTGGTTTTTCTCACATTATTCTCAGTTCCTTTTGTTTGACTGATGAGGAAAAAACCACTATTGTTGTTACCGTGTACAATCTAGCTCAAGGAAAGGGTGTCATTATCGGAGATACCGTTGCCATTCCAGAACCTTTCGTCACTTTCAATGATTTCAGTTTCCAAGATAAGGTATGGCTCTTTTTCCTGACTCCTTTATTGGCAATGCTCTTCTAGACGGACAAAAATCGCCTCAGCATGCAATCTTTGTGTGTGGCTTCTTGTCATAAGGAAATTTCTGATGAAAATAGTTTATTTATTTATTTTTTAAAAGAGTTATAAAAAAAAAAACTGCCAAAAAGGCTAATTTTTGAACTTTTTTGGCTTAACACAAACAAGTGACCTCTTGCCAAAGTGAAGTAAATTATGATTAAAAAAAAAAAAAAACTAATCTGTGCACCAAAGAAATAGCAGCACTCCTTTTAGCCATTTAGGCATTAGTTAAATGAAGCTCTTGCATGAGGCAGGAATTTATGATCTAAGTACTTTTCTACTTGCAAAATTTTGCTAGAATTTTGCCACTCTGAGACAAACTTTTAAGCTCCAAAAAAAGTTAAAGGTAAGGTCGTAATGGAAGGGATTTATCACACTATGTTTAGAGTCCACCTCTGTATTCAGTATCCAGACAAACCATCCACGCTCAGATACAGGCAACAGGGTTACCACGGTTTCAGCCTCAGAGTCCCCAAACAAAGTGACAACCCTGCTAATGTATTTACTCCCTATCAGTGCATGGATAGTTTAACTGAATACAGAGGTAGATTCTTAGTGTAGCATGGGTTGAAGTAGAAGTAATGTAAATGTAGTTTTTTAGCTTCCTTATCATATGAAACGTTCAGAAAGCTTAAGAAGCGTTCGGAAGAAGAATGATCAGGAATTGTATTAAAAGAGGTCGACTTTGCATTTACCCACTTTTTTTATTGTTAAAAAATGGATTTGGTTGTATTATAAGTATAGAGGTGCCCTTATAGCATATTTTTAAATGATTCTTCCTGTTGGAAAATTTTGTAGTGACGGAAAATCAATTAAATTTAAAATCATTGGAAAAATAACTTAATGATTTTTGTTTTTTCGTTTTTCCAGAAATTTCAATTCACCAGCGTTCGGATAGATAATCCACTCGTATTGGTTGTCAATGGAAAGAAAGTGAAAAAAGACCAACTAGCTAGTACTCAACTATCTGTGTTCAAAGTGATTCAGTGACTGAATACTCATGTATTTTTCTCATAATTCTGTATTCAACTCACTCTCTGCCTCAGCGGGTTCAACTCAGCACATAATTTTTTTGAGAAGCACAATACTCAATTAAAGTTGCATTGTCATTGAAACCCATGGTTCTAAACAAACCTAATGAAAAGTACTATCAAGAAAGGTTCTACCTGTTTTTCTTTTCTACTCTTAACTTTGATCATCATCAAACCCCTTTCAGCAACCGTTATGAATCTGATATTTATCACTTAATTTAGTGGAACGTTTACTCTGTATCAAATTATTTTACTTACTTAAAATAGCCGTTCCAGGTGTATAACCCAAGTCTCTTTTAGACATGGTATGATTTGGTTAAAATATTCTTCTGTCTGTTGAAGGGTGAGGTGTGAAAACAGCCCTCAGTAATCTGCTTTGTTAAAAATTTACAAATGTATCCCAAGTGCAAGTAATCTTTTCTATAATTCAACATACATCTCGTCTTTAACAAAGGCTCTAACCGTATATCCAAAGGAAACATATTTATTTTCTTAAGTACCTAACATGTAATTCAACATTTTATACTTTAAATGTATTTGACTCAAAACTGTAATCCTGCATGGGCAATGCATAGATATTAAAATTCAACTGCCCCCTCAATTTTACTGTAGGAAATGTATGTTTACCCATTAAACTTTCTTCCTCAAGAAGAAAGCAAAGGGATACTTTTAGATAAGTAAATTTCTTAGCACGTTCATTCCATGAATGAATGTCCATTGCTTTTTTGTAGTCATAGATATACTTTTTTTTTATAAAATTAACCAAAATTAATACATCAAATTCTTACTTTTTGAAAATGTTTTTCTTACTGTTTTACATCAATGCATCAGACTTGATCTGCCCAAATACTTTGTTATTCTGCCACCACAAATTTTAGACAGAGAATCCTTGAGGCAAGTGATTAGCTTCCTTCATCTTTGAGCTGGATCTTCAAGCTAAAATCTTCCTTAAAACTTTGCCTTGAAGGTCAGGTCCTCTCTCTCTCTCAGTAATTTCTTAAAATGGTCCTCCAGCTTGTTAGTTGGTATCAGTATTGAGCTTGTGGACTGTAGTTGCAGAAACCAAACTATTTTGTTTTAATTACTTTCCAACTCTCTTTTGACCTTCATCTAGTTTGGAAAAAGGTCTTTAAGTAAGCACATGCAGGGACGATATATTTTAGACACCCCCAATTGCTATCCACTCTAGAGTGTAATAGTCATGTTAGGAAGTTTACGTTCATTGCCTTATGATAATCAAAATATTGAGCAATTGGTTTTAAGCAAAGCGAATCGAATTTTCCAAAACTGGCTTTGCAAAACAATCACCCATCATTTATCTGTCATCATCAGGCGAGTTTGCTTAACAAGTTGCCTATCGATCATGATTAGGTGAAAAATAGAGCTGAGCTTCGAACTTAACTTTCACTCCATCTAATTGGATTTATGAAGTTGTCAGTGTGAAATTTCTAAGATAAATAATGTCTCTGGTACGGCACAGGGAAAAAAGAAATTTGGTTAATTTTGTCGCTTGGCTGACAAATGGGCGTAACCACACATTCACAAGAGCCCAGAAAAGCACTGAATTGTATGGGTTCATTGCAGAGTGTGGTTACGCCCTTATGTCAGGTAGGTGACGATTAAACCCAATGTTTGGTGTTTCTCATCGATCCAACTCTCGGGTTGTGTGACGTAACTTTTCAATTCAATAACAGTTGAGGGCTGCGATAAAATTGCGCAAATGCCCCCTTTTTTAACTTTTTGGAGATGCAAAGGATTGTGCAAATTTTTCAGGTACAAAAAACTCACATGTTTGCGCGAATATTCAATTTTCAACGAGAAAGCGTTAATCTGGCAACCTTGGTAGTTTTTGGTAGATAACTACATCGCGGAAGACTGTTATTTCCCTCCTCACTTACGGACATTTCTCTCTTCAATGGATAACCTTCGCATCACACATGGCCCAGAGAGCTTTCACAGACATTTAAGAAGTAAACTAGAGGCCTGCGGCCGCCAGCCACTGAGAAAAACTACACGTAAAAAATCGTAGAACAATCATGTCCAAGTTTTTTAAGAAATGAATGGATTCAAAACCCGACGGGTGCACCCGAATAAAAGCGTATATTTATCTCTGATTGCAACGATATGCACCACTTTTATGTTTTATTTTTAATAAATGTTTTTAAAAAGTTACACACAGTTTTTCTGCAAAGTTTCGAAGCGAATTTGCCTGAATGATCTCAAATAAAATTATCGAAAATTTCGACGCGTTCTTTTCGTTCGTTCCATTTTCTTTTAATGTAACAAAAAAAAGAAAGAAGAAGAAGAAAAAAAAAATCATCCGGGTTACTGAATCGTTACAATGAAGATACATATTTTCCCTTTAATCATAGTAAAAACCGGAGCAGTAAGTCAAAATGATGACAGGCAGTCCCACGGCATTCCTACAGTCTTGAGAGTGCTATGCGTTTCACGCCAATTGACCGATTGCACTGCGTTTGGCGCAATGCGAGAAGTATTCATGCAGTCTTGTAGGCGCAAATATGGGCTTTACGCCGACCGTACTATTTGGCGCGATCATTAAAACTCGCGCTAGAATACCCTGGTAAAAATTGGCGATAGGAGCTGCGTTTCAAAATACCATACGAGTTCTTATAGCTGACTGAAGAAGGCGATAGAAAATCATATAAAGAAGTCTGTAGAAAGTGGAAAAAATCATACGGCCGGACTACACGAAGCTATAAAAAATTATACAGCCGGGCTATACCTAGTTTGCATTATATTCGCAAAACGCACATTATATTTTCGTTTACAACGTATTTTTTTTCACCAATTAAAATGAGAATAATCCATACAGAGTGTGCAAAAATTTCAAAGTCATGAGTTGAAAAACGCTGACTCCGCGAGATTAAATATTAGAGCCTAACACAAAGCGGAGCGGCGGCGCACTGGCGCCTTCAAACCTAACAGGGATACTTCACGCATTGCGCAACGCGTGAAGTATCCCTGTTAGGTTTGTAGGCGCCAATGCGCGTTTCGCGCTGGCTGCCCGCCCGGCGCCCGCCGCGCCGCAGCGTACCACGGCGCTTGAAGCAACTATTTCACACCAGAGGTACTGCACAGTATCATACGAAATTGAGGGCGCTCCAACATATTAGGAATGACAGGCATCCTTCAAAAGTACGGAGTTTTCCTCGCAAAATAAATCAAGATACTACGGCCCAAAAAGAGAGCAGTAGTCCAAAAACTCACTAAGTCCAAGCATCCGTAGGTAATTAGTATAACGTTTAGCATACACTTTATCGCCAGGCTGTTG